CCGCTCTGTCTCTGGTGAATCCTCTCACCCTCACACCTCTGGCCTGTACCCCAGTTCTGTACGAATAAATAAATAAATCTTAAAAAAAAAAAAATAGCACAAGGTGGCAGTCAGCTAGAAACCATTTATTTACTAGATTAGCCTTAAATCTAACAAGAAAACTTATCTAACATACTTAAGGTGTTAAAAGGAAACCATGATGACCAAGGCATATGCATGCTTGATAAGTACATCAAGAGCTCCTGATAAAATTCCCAAGACCCAAGACTAACTTAAAAATAAATCTCCTGGGCCCTCCCTGGTGGCACAGAGGGTTAAACACAGCACTTCATCATGAGTTCGATCCCTGCCCCGGAGGTGATCCACATGGCCTGGCAGACCTCTCCTGACTCGCCCACTGCTCCCCTCAGCAGTGTACTTCATTATTAAGCCTGTTCTGCTCCCTACTCTGTCTCTGATGAATCCTCTCACCATCCCTGCACCTCTGGCCTGTACCCCAGTTCTGTATGCATAAATAAATAAATCTTTAAATAAATAAATCTGTTAATTTCAATGTTTTCTGTAAGCTGATCTTATTTGATCCTTAGATAAAAGAGCAAGACTGACATAATTTTAACTGGTTGGGGTGGGGAGATAGGGAAATGAAATAAGCTGGGGGGCAGAGAACTGCCCAATTAATAGCAGCATTGAAAATGTACAACTTTTCAACAAGTGAATATCAAATCTGGAATAAAAACGTCTATGGGCATTTTCTTTTCTTTTTTTAAATTTATTTTACTTATGCATACAAGAACTAGGGTGTAGGCCATTAATGTGGGGATGAGAGGATTCACCAGAGACAGAGTAGGGAGCAGAACAGGCAGATCTACTGAAATACAGGAGCAGTGTGTAAGACAAGAGAGGTCTGCTGCACCATGTGGGTCAGCTCCCTAGCCCGGGATGGAACTTGTGTTATAGTGGCTGCGGGCAGCTTCATAGTGCTGGGAGTTAATCCCTTGCACCACTAGGGTGGCCCTCTCTGGGCATTTTCTTCCCCAAGTAGGGTGCTGGGTGAGTATGGAAAATTATATGTAATTTTTAGCAGTATTCCTAGGATTCTTGATGCTACTAAAGTCTCCAAAACCTGTTATTAATAAACTCTTCATATAATAATTAACCCTAATATTTTCAACTTCAAAAACTAATACAATCTTGCAAGAATCAAATTAAAATTCTTATTAATCAACCTCCAGTTCTTACATACTATGTCCACGAAGAGTTAACTGTACATTTATTTTTAAGGGTGCAAAAAATTTGCCCACTGTGCAAATTAAGTTCAACAGGCCTCCACCCAGGGCTCCTGTCCCCCAGCAGGACACTGAGGGCCATTAGAAAGGCAGTCTTCACTACTTCTGTGGCCCTCTCATTCTATCTGGCTTGCTTCTTTCAATGACAGTGAGTTTCTGCTGCTCATGCACACAGAAAAAGGAGCCTTCTAACGAATAAAGGGTTGGCCAGGGCTGTTCTTATCTCTGCTGCTCTCGAGGAAAATTCCTCTAAGGTGAGTCAAGTTCAGTGGCTTCCTTTAACCTAGAGCAACTATTTATTTGCTGCTCTGGGAGTTTTTAGTCATCTAACCAGATCCTCATAACTCAGCTCTCATCCCAAAAGCACTCTGAACCCCTGCTAGGAAGTGCCTAGGGAAGCAGATGAAACTCATTAGAACAAAGCATTCAAAGCAGCCAAGTATTTCACTAGCTGTATACAGGGACTTTCCCACTACTGTGGCCGAGGCTGTAGAAGTATTTTCACCACAGTCATTGTCATCCTTGACTTTGTCTTCATCTATTCAGTTCTCTGCCCCACCAACTTCACGGTTCTTTTCCCGGAGGCACAATTATTTCTTTTCAGCTTACTTGTGAAAATGGCTTATTTTTGTGATTTACCCAACCATGAAACTAGGTCTGTTGGGATACAGGGTAAAGCCAAATAAATAATCCTCTTTGTTCAGCAAATGGCTGCTGGGTGTTTCAATGTCATGAGGTGTCTGGCCCAGTTGTGCTCTTCTATGCTGGGTCTTCTTCATCCATTGCCACATCACTGTTGGTATTCTTCTGCTCAGCCTCAGGTCCTGCAGGCAGAATGCTTGTGACAGTATGAAGGAGAGTTTCAATCTGCTCCTCTGTGAGCCGTTCTTCACTCTCTTCCACCATCTGCAGAAGGGAAGAAACTCTCCAGCAGTTACAAATAACCCTCACAGACCAGGTCCACACTGCACTAACCTGCTCACGTTATTCACAGTCCCACCCACCCTCTTGGAACACAGAGCTCAGGGTTTGGCTCCTAAGCCTCTTCTGTCTCTAGGTCTTCTCCCTCTTGATCTACAGAAGGGAGAAGTCAGTTCAAAGTCAATGTCAATGTGAGTACTCAACCTGAGTCAGTGAAAAGAACTACCTATTAGCATTTTTCTTTAAGGACAAAGAAAACTGTAGTAGTTCTATATCCATCTATATAAACACATATATATGCTATATATGCAAAGAAAGTTCACTTCTAGGGAGTAAAATGGCACTTTATATACCTTGGTTTTTTATAAGACACCAGGACTTATGAACGGTATCAACACCTTATCTGACAACTGCCCAGTCTGTGCCAAGTAGTTTATGGATTTTTTTCTAATTGTCACTATTATCACTACTAACAACACCAGGGTCCCAGTCTGTGGCATTCCCACAGCAATCTCTGACATCTGGACCTAAAATCAAAAGGAGTCCAGAAAGAAATTCTGGCAGACTTAAATAAACCAAGGTGAAAGGCTACACTTGCAATCTTGAAAGGAACTCAGTCTCAATACCTCATTTTACAGATCACAGTACAAAAACCAAAGAAGTGACACATCGAGGATCATACTACAAATTCCTGGTAAATCGTTTTCATTCATCTCAATGTAAAAATGTTTCCACAAGACAAAATCCTGATGTTCTCAGGTAGGGAAGATCATGAATGAGTCAAGGGAGCTACTGCCCATCATATGAAATAAAATGACCATTTTCTGAAGATCTAAAAGCTCGGTAAAATGTGACTTTTCTACTGAGTAACAATCCCAAAAAGCCCATTTTTTAAATCAAATATGCATTTGGTATGTAACAGGAAGTAATCTAACACAGACTGCATCCAAAGATCGAAGTGGGAGGGAGAGGGATACATGTAATTTGATAATTTAGCCCTGACCAATGGTGAACTCCATTTGAGAAAAGAGTATCCCAAGTCTATGAATAACCAGTATTGTAGCGGATAATGGATCCACTAGGCAGTCAATGATGACTCGTTTCCTGCCTCAGGGGAAGAGGCTGAAAGAGATTTAGAATATGGTTAAAGTGACAACCTTCCTCTGTATTTGTGCGCTGCTACCAGTTAATGAGGGGCTAAAGCTGCCACCAGAGCTTCTCAAGAAAGCTATAAAGTCTGGACATCTTATAGATGTTCTCATCTGTTTTAAGGGAAACTTGATCCGTATCTCATAGCAAGAGTGTGTGAGATCTTCCGCCCAGAAACCCATACACACCAAGCAGAAGGTTTCCATCAATTCCTCTCTGCGATGCTGTATGGCAGACTCAAGGAGCTTGGCTATATGATCTCTGAGGGGCCACCCTTTTTAGAAAATCAAACAGAGGACTTCCACAAGCCACCTTCTTGCAACCTAATCTCTGAATTTGGCAGATGCAACATTAAGATTAGGAGTCAGGGCCCTCCCTGGTGGCGCAGCGGGTTAAAGCACTGCACTAAGAAACTAAAGCCACTTCAGCATGAGTTCGATCCCCGCCTGCCCCGGAGGCGACCACATGGCGAGGCAGACCTCTCCTGGCCCGCCCGCTGCTCCCCTCAGCAGTGTACTTTGTCGATCTGCCTGTTCTGCTCCCCGCTCTGTCTCTGGTGAATCCTCTCACCCTCCGCATCTCTGGCCTGTACCCCAGTTCTGTACGAATAAATAAATCTTAAAAAAAAAAAAAAAAAAAAAGATTAGGAGGAGTCAGTCAGGTGTGTTCCTTGAATTAGGGCTGGTGAGTTTTCGAATTCTGACAAAATTTGCCAGGAGCAGAAGCTTATATCAGCACCTTCAGATAAATTCCTTATACTCAGGAACTTTCCAATTCATGATTTCCAGTCACAGGAAGAAAACAAAACCTAAGATGCATTAAGTAGAATGGATTGTATACCAAAACCTTTTAGAAACCAAAAACCAACCCTTCTGATCACTAATATAATTGAAATGATTATTCTTCACCTTTTTTTACCAATACAGAAAAAGCAGCGCCCAGGGACTTCCTGGTGGCACAAGGGTTTAAGTCTCAGCACTATCAATCTATGGGCAGCAACTGCAGCACAAGTTTGATCCTCAGCCAGGAAGCTACCCACATGTTGCAGAAGACCTCTCCTGTTTTTCCCGCTGCTCCCCTCAGCAGTATATTTCAGTACATCTGCTTATTCTCCTCCCCACTGTCTCTGGTGAATCATCTCATCCCATCCTCACACCTCTGGCCTACACCCCAGCTAATGTATGCATAAATAAAATAAATCTTTAAAAAAAATACAAAACACCATTTCAACATCCTGAAATACAAAAGGTCTCAACTTACTCAGAATATAAAGGCAAATGAAATTTAAAAATCCAAAGTATTTGCAGATGGGTCAACATAAATAATAAATTTTTATCACATTTGAAAATTATTTCAATTCTCAGTGGCTGCTGAACAGGGCTGCTTGCTCTAAAAATAGTTGGTTCTCAGCTTCCAAGTCTAACCTCCTATTTTCCCTAACTCAAAATTTGATAGCAATAGACATTCTAGCTATTTGTTCAGAACACTTTTGAAAACTTGTTTACTTACCCTTCATACATTTCAAGTTTTCTCTAATGTAAAATGAAAGTAACTTACAGTAAGGACAAAGTAAGAACATACATTATCGTGACTTTGAAAGCCCTAAAACTCCAAATTCTAGACTTTTTACTATCACTAAATTATAACAAAGATGATGGGGCCGCTCAAGACAGTGGGTTATGAAGGACTAGGGTTCACAAACTGTTCCAAATGAATATACAACAAAGCATGGCAGAAGTCACTATGGCTGGGTGGCTGCTTCATTTCCTCACAGACCCTGACAGACAGTAGGCAGTCACCTGTGGACAAGTATAACAAAATGACAAGTATAACAAAATTGAGGAACTTCCGTTTCCTAAACTGAACACTAACAAATGCTGAGATACTTCTGAAACCAGGAGGATAAACAGTTCTTTACACATTCTACTGTACCTGAAAACATCATTTCTTCTCCCTCTCTGGAGAGGAGACTACAAAGTTTGGAAAATGATTTGCTATATTTGATAGCCAAACCCCAGACTGGAAAAATCTGGCTATAAATGGTCCAGCTGCTGGGAAACAACATAGTTTTTATTAAAGTCAACCTATCTTGTGGAAAAGAAGGTCTCAGGAATGCCACACATCTTTTTTTCATACCATGTAAAAGCACATGGCTTTGAGTTACAAAGTAAGACTTTTGGATCTAACAAATACTTCACTCACTAGCCAACACTATGGTGAGAGGGCATGAAAGGACATATAAAAACCAGAAAGCCCCTGGCACATGTCTGGCATATAGCAGGCACTCGTAATAGCAGCTAATCTTACCAAGTAATGATAGAACTTCTACCAGTCTGAGAAGAGGGCACACTAATCCTCCTCATCTCTTCTCTCCATCTGTCATTAAGCCATGAATAACATATGAGACTGATTAAAGTTGGGGAAGAAATGACATCTGATCTTTAACCCAGAGGGAAAGGGATTAGTTTCTTGCTGTTTTGTTTGTTTTTTCTCTGCCCTGAGTTGAATCTCCAACACAGTCAAAAGCATCAGAATAATGAAGGTACAAAAAAAAAAAAACCAATATTTAGCCCAAAGGCCAGTTGCCCCACAAAGGTACCCATTATGGAAGGAATTTTTCTAATTTAATTTTGGATGCATTTTGAAGGGCAGAAGCAAAACTAGGAAGACAATAAAAGCTTTAGTCAAACATTAAATATCCATGACCCTTTAAAAAAGGTTTTTTTTAGAAAAGTCATTCTAAAGATCATAGTATTTTTGGCCATTTTCTTCCACACTTTCCTGATGGAAACTTAACAGGCTAAATACTGCTAAAGCTGAGTTTGGAAATTGCTTATTTTCATTTTATTAATTTTCCAGCTAAAGTTCAGTTTATTTTTTGTTTGTTTATTTGTTTTAAAGTGGCAATTAAATGGCCTGCCTAATATTTGTAACTTAATGATGCCTCTGCCCTGTACAAGTGTGCCAAGATAGTAACCTCAGTTTGTGTCACTAGACCTCAATCTCACCTTCACCTTCTACCGTCTCAGCCTTCTACTTCCAGCTGCCTTCCACAACTCTGAAGCTTTATGCTACTATGCCTTTGTCAGTGATGGGTTCCACTGAATGGTTTTATACAAGGAAGAAAGATGATCAAACCTGTGGTATTAGAAAGTGAACTATGATAGTGGGTTGTAAGGGGCCAGACCAATGCAAGGGGAAGGTAGGACACTGCCAGAGCTGAGCTGAAGAATGACCACAGACATCAATGCAGTATAGAGGAAAGAAGAAAGAATAGATAGAAGAAATAGACTCCTAGAGACAAACTGAATATGAGATAAAAGAATGACTTCCAGGCTTGGGGAACTGGGAGAGGAGGGCGAGAGAGAAAAGAGCATGTGGGAAAGTACACATATGTTCCATTAACCAAGAAAAAAAGACAGGAAGAGTGGATTGAAGGGTGGGAGTGGGGGACGGCGGGTGGGGGCAGTAAATTCCACCAAAGTCATGTTGAGTCTAATGTTATTATACAACATCTGGTTGGCAACCACCCCTATAGGGAAACAATGGCCAAAATGGCGTAGGACATCAGGGGAAAGAAAATGCTGCCAAGTCATAGGTCTAACCCCTACAGAAGGAATTCAGTTTCCTCCAGTCTTCTACTTCTCCTAAGTCCACAGTACCTAGGAACAAATTGGTGAGGTCTTATAAAATGGGGTGACTGGGCAGACTTCTCAAAAAAGGGATTTCTGGCATGTCTTTTTTCAGCCTTTATCACCCTTTCTATATCTTGGACCCAGAAATCAACCCGTTCACGTTTGGGCCTCCTTCACTTACCAGCTGGATCTCAACAGCCGTCATAGGTCTGTGATTCAGCAACTGAAGCTTCTCAGCTCTGTCAAAAGAAAAGTACAAAGCATTTAAAACTCACAGACCCTTAAGGATCTTAAGTCTTGACCAAGTTGTTTGGAAAACACTTTGTCAGATAACAAATGGGAGAGCCATCTGGAATGTGGCCCTTAGTGTCTTCAAGTATAAAATGAGAGAATGGGAATACGAGAGTTCTAGGTCAGTGACTTGCGCTCAAGGAACAAATATGTACTGAAATTCTAAAGGGTAAAGAGCATACACTGTAAGAAATTTATCATGTAGCAGAGTTATAGCTTTATTAAATTTCATTTGGAAAAGTGATGAAAATATTTTTTTCATCTGAAATATAGAAAACTAAAGATTAAATCACCTTGGTATGGTTGAGAATTACTTTTTGAAATTAAGATTCTAGGTTAATCAGATTTAACTTCTTATCTTCATAAACAAGAACAAGGACTCTAAAAAGTTAATGCAATGCGTATAAAGTATAATCATCTGCCTTAAAAAGTTTACAACCTAGTGGAGAAAAGAAGACAAGCAAATTTTAACAAAAGGTCTAAGTAACAGTTGAAGATAATTATCATCTGTCACATGGCAATATATAGCTTATTGTTAAAGGGGTGCTTGAAATGTGTGGATTCTCAGAGATGACAGAACTTAAAAGAAAAAAGGATGGCTTCAATTAACAACCACTTATGCAAGGGAAAATTTATGTTTCTATCTCAATATGACCCTGGAATGCCAGATTCATTTTTCAATTCAATAAAGTCATTTCTGAAGTAAAAAAGATGAATACACCGCAACTGCCACAGCCATGTACTTGGGAAAGCAGTTCAAGTTACCCAGTGTCTCTACACCTCAGTTTTATCATCTGTAAAACAGGAATGATAACATCACTTAGTATCTCAGGAGGAGGCTAGGAGGGTCATAAGAATCTTAAAAGCTCAGCAGCTACCATTTTATTGCTTACTTCCCATATGGCAGGCACATTTAATCCCCAGGCTTAGGCGAGATAATAAATAATTTGTCCAAAGTCATACACTAGAAAATAGCAGAGCCTCAGCTGGGCCTCTGCCATCTAAGTTTCTACTCTTAACCATATGCTTCTAGTATTCAGCATTCATAATGATGATTTCCACAGAGTAATTTCTCCAGAAATGGAAGTTATTATGAAGGCCACTGTAGTTCAGTGCTTCTCCTAATCTCCATATTTATTCTAGACTCAAGACAAAGACTTCCCAGAGGAAAACACACTTGTACTGGGTCCTGACAGATTTTTAGGCAAAAAAGGATAGAAAAGTGGAAAATTAGGATAGGAACAGCACAAGTGAACATACAAAAAAATAAAAATTCACAGTTTTAGGAAATGGCTGCTAGAGAGGTTGTAGAACATGATGGCAAAAGTTATTTTGTAGACACCAAGCAACCAAGGAAAAGGAACGACACACTCAGGATGATACCTGTAGCAATGGAAGACCTAGAAAAATAGATGCAGAGCTCTGTGATACGCCTTGGTGAGAGAAAACTAACCGGTAACTGGGAAGCTTAGAAAGCAAGGAAATAAATACACAATTCAACAGGCTGACATGGTAGAGCCGTAAGAGTACAGTCTTTTGTTTATGTCTTAAAAGCTTATGATGATCTGTTCTGACTGACATTTGGGGAACAAGGGACTCTCTACTTTTGCCTAGGGGGATGCTGTCTGTACTTGGTGCCATGGAGGGTTTCAGGGGATCCTAGTGTAGGACATTAAAAGATTACAAGGAATGGCTGGCTTGCTGCCACCACTGCAGCAAGTCTGAAAGGCAGAGAATTACTGATTGCATTTCTTTTAAGATATTTGTCTACTCACCATTTTTATGAGCCACATCAATTCTTCTTGGTTAGAGGATCCACAGTGCCAGAATTTAAGTGTATCCCTCTGTCTCTAGGATGTGACACTGGGTTTTTTTTTTTTTGTTTTTTTTTAAAGATGTATTTATTTGTGCATACAGAACTGGGGTACAGGCCAGAGGCTCAGGGGCGGCGAGAGGCTTCACCAGAGACAGAGTGGGGAACAGAACAGGTAGATCAACGAAGTACACTGCTGAGGGGAGCAGCGGGCGGGTCAGGAGAGGTCTGCCACGCCATGTGGTCACCTCCGGGGCAGGCGGGAATCAAACTTATGCAGAAGCGGCTTTAGATTCTCAGTGCTGTGCTTTAACCCACTGCGCCACCAGGGAGGGCCGTGACACTGGGTTTTAATATAGTCAGCCAGATACAGGTGCAGCCAGTATCCCCAGAGGTCTCCACTTCTTCAATCTACCTTCACTCTTATAAATAAAGAACTTTTTAAAAGATGAATAACTGGTCAGCTCATTATCATACTTGTAATGATCCCACTGTCTCCATACAGTTGATATGTTCTGAATTTACTTAGCTCAGCCTCTACATCCCAGTGAAATTTGAACTTTGTCAATCTCTCTAGCTGGGTATGTCTTCACTTTTCCTAAGCACTCATCTCAATTAAAACTAAATACTGGGCCCTCCTGGTGGTGCAGCAGGTTGGAGAGCAGTGCTATGAAGCCACAGCCACTTCAGCATGAGTTCGATCCCTGGGCAGGGAGGTGACCCACATGATGCAGCAGACCTCTCCTGTCTCGTGTGCTACTCCCCTCAGCAGTGTACTTCATTAATCTGCCTGTTCTGCCCCTGCTCTGACTCTGGTGAATCCTCTCACAACCTCTGGACCTCTGATCTATACCCTAGTTCCATATGCATAAATAAATAAATCTTAACAACAACAACAAAAAAAAACACTGTAAATACTACCCAGGAAAACATCAGACTACTTTCTGATTCCATATATTAGGACGTCATGTTCCCCATGCTAGAAAGCTCAAGTGCACCTGTATCTGGCTGACTATATTAAAACCCAGCGTCACATCCTAGAGACAGAGAGATACACTTAAATTCTGACACTGTGGTAGTCCCCAGAAGTCCCAACTACCACAGTGCTACATTGTATTCATCTCTGTGTCCCCCAAAAACTGAGATAGAGCTAGCATAAATATTCTCTGAAAGATAAACTAACAGAAGTGCTAGAGTAGCACTGACCACCATGGTAAATTCCAGGGAGAAACAACTGCTGAACACTGGGGAGGGAAGGGGTAGTATTACATTCTCTGAAAATAGAAGGGCAACCATACTCCAGATACTAATTCTCCTACTCCGAGTTTTCTTGGTAGCAAAGGCACATGTCCCAAACACAGTATCAAGCACCCAGGGTCATCTGTGCAGAGAAGAGTCACTTTTAGAGATCTGAAGTTATTCACAGATCTACCTAAATTGGGTGTCAAAAGTAAGCTTTCCTCTCTTGTTGGTAAATATAGTTGTAATTTGAAGGAGGAGATCTCAGAATGAGAGCTGGAACTGCAAACCAGACTGCAGTTGTCAGAAACTAAATGCCTCAAGCAAAAATTAAAATGATTAAAGAACCGAATGCTTTGGGGAATTAGTACTCTGTAGAAAAAAATGACTTGGGATTTAGTACTTCAAGTTGTCTCAGTGCTACCATATATTTGCTGAATAAAGCTATGAAGTCAAACAAAACATAGTTCCTACCATACCCTCTAGAATGCCAGTATTGGAGGTATTTTGGCAAATTAATGAAGCGCCAGTGTGCACTACTAGAACTGAACTAGTTAATTAAGGGCTTTTATTTTGATCTACTTTCCCTTAGAAAATGGTAGAGAAAAACTATCATAGGAATATTCAGAATTAAGGATTAAAAAGCGCTTTACCAGTTTTTACTATAAATGGAACTCCTGTCTTAAACCATACTGCCTAGCACATGGTCTAGGCCTGGTAGGGCTCCATAAGGAAAGCAGGCCTCAGTCACAGTGAAGGAAGCCTGAAAGCTCCCTCTACTGGCTGTATATAGAACAATGCAGTCTAAAGTAACATACAGATGTAGTCATGACCAAAATCCTAGCAAACAGAACTTTCTAGACCTGGTAAAGAGCATCCATGAAAACCTAAGCTAGTGTTACACTTAATAATAAAATAGCTGAACCTTTCCCTTATGATCAGGAACAGGTTTGCTCCTAACATTCTATCAATATCACACATCATAGTTCTAATTTCAACACCGCAGACCCTAGCCCATGCAAGAAGAAAGGAAAAGAAACAAAAGGCATATTAGAAAGAAACAAAACTCTTGTGTTCTCAAACACCATAACTGCCTACATAGAAAAACTTTAGGGAATATGCTAAAAGACAATACTGTATGACATTAAGTTCAGTAAGACAAGTCAGCTGTCTTTCTCAATGAATATCTGGAAATCAATAATAAACACAACAGAATCAAAAATTATGAAATACATGGCTATAAACCCAAAAAACTTGTGCAGAATCTATATTCTAAAAACTACAGAAAAGTAATGATTTGTTCTAGGTGTGAACGAGCTGATTCAAAAATTTATGTACAAATGCAAGGAACTAGAAAAGAAAATTTTGAAAAAGAACAAAGTTAAACAACTCATACTATCTAACCTTAACACTTATTTTAAAGCTGCATTGATAAGGCGGTATGGTGTGAGCAGGACAGACACACAGACCAATGGAACAGAAGCAGAAGTGAAGACACAGGCTCAACAGATTTCTTGGAAAAACTTAAAGACTACTGAAGGAAATATGATGGTCTTTCCAATAAATGGGACTGAAACAGTCTTGAAATCTACACAGCCAAAACCTCAACCCATACCTCACACCATACCCTCAAGATGGAACACTTCTGGAAGAAAAGGTAAGTCTTGGTGACCTTGAATATGGCAGAGTTTTTACATACAACATCAAAAAGCAGATGTATGAGGAAAAAGAAATAAACTTGACTTCAACAAAATTAAAACTTGCTTTGAGAAAGTACTAAGAGACTATAGCGATAAACCATTGACTGAAGGAAAAAACTGTAATTATCCTTCAAACTGTGAAAAACAATGAAATGGGCAAAATATCTGAAAAGACACTTCATCAAAGAAAATAAACACCCCAGAAAGAGTTCACAACATTCACAATATCAAAATAAATGAAAATTAAAACCAGAATGACGCACCACTTCAAGCCAATATGAACAATTAAAATTAAAAACACTAGTAATACATGAACTGGCAAAGACTGGTGTAAACAGGATGCTCTTACATTGCTGGGACTAATGCAAAATGGTACAGTGAATTTAGAAGCAAGTTTGACAGTTTCTAACAGAGAAACTGTTTGATTCCATTAAGTTAAAAGACTTTCTGGAAAGGGTGAAACAATAGGGAAGAAAAAAAAAACAGATGAAGTGTATGGCACTGGGCAATAAAAGAAATTAATTAAAGAAGACAGAATGAAGTAATTTATGGGGCAGTGGAACTGTCTACAACACACACGAAATGCTTATATATTAAGGACATGTTAAATCATTTTAAACAAAATATTTATGATCCAGTTTTCACACTAAGATATCTGGAGATGAAAAACTACCTTGCCAGCTCTTGGAGAAGAGTAGCTAGGCTCTCTTTCTCCAGAAGAAAAAGTTCCTTCTCAATACCCAGGCAAGGACATCTGAAGTGCCCACTGGGTCCACAACCTAAGAACACAATTTCTCAGCCTCCTCAGGAAAACTCATGAAACTTGGGGTAAGCTGAAAGTATCCATTATTGGGTTACTCACCACTGTGTGCCCAAACCTGTGTAATTTACTGAACCTCAATTCACTCATCTGTAAAAGACTACTTGTCTATACTCACACCTTTCCCTTCCCTCATATTATAGAAAATTAGCCTATTCTCAGAGATAATCTCCTTCTGACCCATTTGATTTTGTGTAATTAAAGTTATTCTCAGCTACAATAATAAGTCAAGTGACCTCAACTACTAAAGTACTAAAAAAGTAGTACCAAAGAATATTTAGGAAAAAACTTAAGCAAGTTGGTGAAAGATTCATGTGCTGAAAGCTATAAAATGTCACTTCAAAAGAGAGGGTAGGGGAGAAGCACACTTAGTTTACTGATAATTTATAACCTATGTGCCTGCAATAAGATCAAATGGTTCCTCCAAAAGAAAACTACTGATTATTCTGAATTAAAAAAAAAAATGGGTTTATCAGCTCTGGTATTAATTCTAGAAGACTAGGGCTAGTTTTCTTCTCATTTAATTTCTTCTCAAGTAATTGTTAATGATGTCTTTGATTCCTACAAGCTTAACTTATTCAAGAAAGTCATCAAGAAAAATAATTGGGCATACAAACAAATATGGGGCAATATGTTTGCCCCATACAAACAAGTATCAAATGACTTCATTGACCAACTTTACAAAAAAAAAAAGCACTTTAATTTGTGAACCCCACTCTTCAACCAATTTGATCTGATTGCTGGGAGGAACTGATGGGATGGGTTAAGGAAATTAAAACAGTAACTACTTTTTGTTCTTGCCTAGAAGGATCCTTATGATTAGTCTCAGTCTCATCTATAAGATAATGAATCTACTTTAAAAGTATTGTGTGCAGGGCCCTCCCTGGTGGCGCAGCGGGTTAAAGCACAGCACTAAGAAGCTAAAAGCCACTTCCGCATGAGTTCGATCCCCGCCTGCCCCGGAGGTGACCACACGGGAGGTGACCACATGGCGCGGCAGACCTCTCCTGATCCGCCCGCTGCTCCCCTCAGCAGTGTACTTCGTTGATCTGCCTGTTCTGCTCCCCACTCTGTCTCTGGTGAAGCCTCTCGCCACCCCTGAGCCTCTGGCCTGTACCCCAGTTCTGTATGCCCAAAGAAATAAATCTTAAAAAAAAAAAAAAAAGTATTGTGTGCTAATTATAATTTCAAAATCCAACTAAATATAGTTGTTGAGGATGGCTTTTCATTATCTGCACTCTTTTCCTGCAAAGGTAAGTTTTACTTACTTGGTCAACTTGTGGCTTTTCATAGCTGTAAGAAATTCTCTGACAATCTCAGGACTCTGGTGCCTGCAAGGTGTTTTTGATATGTATTTTAATGTCTATAAAAAAAAAGAAGAAAAGAAAAATCAAGCATAACAGAACCCTGAATGAGAAAAAAGGGAAGCAATGGTTATAATTTAGTATTATAAGTTGTTTCAAAAAAATTTCTATAAACCAAAGGTTTTCAGGAGAGTCAATCTTCATATAATAGAAATTCCTCAAAAAGAAAACTAGTGGCAAGATAAGGAAAAATAATGAAATTTTAGAAGAAAACTTTTCTAATCTTAAGAGAAAAAATCAATCTGATAATTGTGTTATATTTCACACACTTTTTCTACAGCCAGGAAATCCAAAGAATTAAAAAAAAGCCACTAGTCTATGTGGATATAAATGACTGAATAAATAAATGGGTAAGAAAGATAAGCTCTTTTTTACAGATGAATTGCTAACTATTAAAAGTAGAAGGAATGAAAGAACTAAATTACCACCAGCTAATCACACCAAACTAAGAATTACTATAGGAAAGACTCATCAATAAATGCTAAAATAGGTAAAAGCTGAAGGGGAAATAGCGCATTTGTAGAAACTCAAAGTATCTTCCCCCAAATAGCTATTAATTACTTTGGTGGCTCAACATATGTCCACAAGTTCTTTGCTATCCCTCCCCTCAAGAGATTTAGTCTAATCCACTTGAATATGAGCAGGATTTGGTGGTTTCTTCTCAAAATAATAGGAAAATGGAAAAACAATAGTGTAACAATGGAGAACCATACAGATATCACTTTAACAAGTGACCAAAATTAATAACATCACTGACAATAAGACACTGCTATCAGGTATCCACTATCATGGGCACATCACTTCTGTGGCACTTGACTCCCACAAGCCTTAACGTCAGTCTCATAAGAAAGCATCGACAACCAAAATCAAAGGACTGTCCACAAAAAACCTGATCATTAATCTTCAAAAGTGTCAAGTCAATCAAGTGTAGCTATGGAATGGACTCTCAACAAAAATGCTGGCCAATAAAGTTCGGCAGAGCTCTCCTAGTTGACACACAAATTTTGAGCAAAAAAGTGTGTCACCACTCCACTTAAAGATAATGGAAGCTCTGCACTCGGTATTTCTCCTAAACTCTGCCCTTTCTGCTTCTTCCTTTGACCACAGTTAATCTGTTTCTATTCCCTGTAATAAACCATTACAGCTTTTAGTGAGTTTTGTGAGTACTTGTAGTGATTTAATGAACCTGAGGGTGGTTTTGGGGGATCCCTGACAAACAACTGATGTTAAAAGTAAGACGTTGTTTTGACTATTTATTTCCTCTAGATCTGTAGTTGACTAACCCTCATAATTGGCAAAACACTAGAGAAACAAACAATTTCAACTTTTATAAACAGCAAAAACTGGGTGATAGTAAAACTAATAAATAAAGAGCAGTCTTGATTTTGTGGTCAGTCATCAGCAAAATACACCAACTCCCCTCATTGGTAGTTTGGATAGAAACCTAAGCTTACTTCATAGGTGATAGTATTCAAGTTCTGTTGCCCAGAACTGTGTTTATTCTTTCCACTTTCTTTCCGTTGTTCTTTCAGATCAGTTAATAGCTGGAACACCTAAGGAAAGACATACATAAAATTTAGTAAATAAATTTAATGAATTTATCAATTCTCAAAGGATAAATAGAATGGTACCTCTTTTCTTCCCACAAATCCTCCCCCTAACTTAACTCCTGCATTAGAGCAAATAAGAGCTCAAGAAACAATATTTTAAAAACATTCTTCTGTCTTAAGTCAAATAATGCAAAGTCATTAGTTTACTTAAGAATTTCAAATGTTTCCTATCAATATATACCATGTCCCTAATCTCCTCTGATTTCAAAAACATATTTACTTAATACTGGAAAAGAAAAATTATGAGGTAAGTGATGAAATATGGTATATTAAAAAAAGGGGAGAAAGAGAAAATACTATAAAACTTTAGCACAGATAAGTGTGTCTATTAAGATTAAGGAGGATTATTTCTTTGCTGTTTTTGAGACCATTGAGAACTGAAGGAAATTCAGGCTCATAATCCATTACTAGATACAATGCTCTCCTTCCCATTTGTTATTCCTTTCAGAAATAGTAGCATCAGATCCAGTAAATGCAGTAAATGCAATGGATAAAATACCCAAAGACCCACCAAAGTCCATACTAGGCAAGGAGGTTCCTAAGTTAAGGGCCTGACCAACAGCCTTCCTTTTATGACCAGCAACTGTCAACTGCGTTAATTCTACATAAGACCCAAAGCTCCTCTAAGCCTCCATGAGTTCAGACTCTGGTACATGAAAATGTATGAATGGTTCTTTCTTCATCTGGGATTAACCCATCACATGGTTTGCTAGGGCCAAACAGGGCCCAGGGCAAATAGAGGTAGTTAAATGTGATGTTACATCTCCCCTTTCGCCCTTTCTTTCTTTCTTCCCTTTCCTCAGTAACCCCACACCAAATCCCCCAAATCCCAAATCTTTCGTTCCCACTAAATTATTACTATTATTATTATAGTTATAATTATTATTATATTATAGTATAATACTATACACAATAATACATACAATTATTATATATACTAAAATATAGTATAATACTATAATATAATAATTATTATATTATTAATTATAGTATAATAATTACTATTATTATAGTAGGCAACCAAGTTCTCATTTTCAAAATGAAGGTGTTAATATCAATGACAATATTATGAGGATTAAATAATAACATACAAAATCATTTTATAAAGAATGGTAATAAGGAAAAGATATAGTAAGTACTGTAGTAGAAAACTTTTGCATACAGAAACAGTTCCAAAACAGATGTTTCCATATCATGAACACATCCCAAGTGAAGAGATAAAATCTTTGAGATCCTGGAAGGCTGCCTACTGTAAAATAAAGTCTTCCCAACTTCCCTGAATATTCCAGAGTGTACCTGATGGCCATCTTTCCTGTTTTATAGTGGAAAATCCAGTTGAATTCAGGTACTCCTAACCAAAATTAACACAGTAATCTGCAGGGGGGGAAAAGGCTAAACTATCAGGGAGGAAAATAGTCCACTTTAAAGCTTTTACCTCATAGTTACTGAGCAGTGCAGAATTAGCATCTTTCCTGCAAAAGAAAAGTAAATTATTATCAATCTGGGTTTGCATCCCTTCAAGGGAATTAAGTATTTGTAAAATAATTCCTCTGTCAAGATTCACCAGTCAAGTTCAGGAATTTAGGGACAATCTAAAGTTGAGATGTTTCCCAAGTTCTACTAGCTTAGCAGACTGCACAATTTCAGAGCAATCTTTCATTGTTACAACCACAGTATCACATGTCCGTCACCATGTAGGATATAGGTGACTAAAATACTGGCCTTATTCCCAGTCTATGTAGGCAGAAATTAGGAGAAGTCGTCTGGGAAAAGTTAGTTACAGGAAGAACATGGGAGCAGATGGGTAGGATGGCGATTATGGGACTTCAGTAAACAGGGTAAGGGTACTAAAACTGAAGAAACAAGATGCTGTCCCAACCATATCCTTTCCCTAGTGACATCTGCCTCCCACCAGTTACTGACATTTTGGGCAGTCAAGTCCCACTGTTAAACCACTGGAAATGGGATCCTTAATACTAACATCATCCCTGGGAATTTCAGTAATGTCATGAATCTTGCTGGACACTCAACAGAATTCCAAAGGTTTTCATCTTCTATATCAATTAGACAGGTGGAGTTCTAATGTTAGTAATCAAAAGGTAAAATGTCATCTTTCATATATAATTAAGCATACTCAATGTTAAATTAAGTTATAACTGGCCCAGTCTACAACATTACATCAGAAAGTATTGTTTTTAATGACCTGGAGGTAATATTGTGTGATAATTAAAAATAGTTTTGAAATCAGATTACAAGGTTCATATTCTAGCTCTGCCTTTAAAAGGTGACTAAGTTTTTGTGAGTTAATTTTCCTAAGCTTCCCATCTATAACAATAAAGTGGGTACATATTATACTTACAAGTGTAGCCTCATCTACAAAATGTCACAGTATCAAAATGTCAGTACAGTACAGTTTCAGGATTATCTTGAAACATGTAAAGCACTTGGAACACAGGAAATGTTCGATAAATGCCATCTATAATTCCCACTGCCTGTGTTACTATCATCACAAACTCTTCCTACCTCATAAAGCCATTATGGGAATGAAATGAGAGAACAAATGTTAAAGGTTTAGCATAGTTCTTGGTACTCATTAAGATCTCCCTAAATGGAGAGTATCATTCTAAAAAATATCATCTTAATGTAAAACCCAGTGATCTAGAAACTATTATGATTCTTTCTTTATAAATGATGAGACTGAAACTCAGATTCAAAGACTTGTTAGGGTCCCACAGTAAAAAGCCTAACTGAAGTGGAAGATAACTATTAAACAGGAAAAAAGAATGGATGGGATAAATGAAATAGGCAAAGCAAAGTCCTAAAAATTCAGGAAACAGCTTTTACTTTGATATAATACACAAGGGGAAAAAAAGACTACTGTATATTCTTAACCAGGAGTGGGGCTATCTGATGAAATTATACAAAATTTAAAAGAAAAAGGTAGGGAGGAGGAAGGTAAACAGGTGGTTTTCAGTCAGTAGGCAAATTGAGTAAGTGGTTAATACAAGAACCAGACCTAGGCCCTAGGTCATCAGCACAGTGATGTCAGCACTATAATCAAACAGTCATGTGAAGCTTACCAAACACTATCAGACATTCAGCAAATAGCTGGAATTTCTCAAAAGTGCCACCTGGCCCCAATGACCACAACTCACAAAAATATCATATTTTAAAGGAATCTAACCCAGGAAGAGCAATGTAGAATTAGTGTGTGTGATATGGTTCATTTAAAATTAAAAATGACATATCAAATCACATCTCATTTTTGCCTACTTAATCAGGAAGTTCACCCACAAGGTTTCCTCCTGTCTTTGCTTGAAATCGAGTTACCCTTCTACAGAACACACAATAACCAAGAATTGACTAGGGAAAAAAATTAAATGTCATTTTTCCTCCAGGGCAATAGATCCATCCCCGGTGCCACTGTTACAATTTAATTTTGAAATTAAAATTGGCCTCTCTTCTATCATGCAGAATATTCCATGCGTTGGGAAATTTGCCCATGGCTCTGCCAAGTTATTGCCACACTGTCCAAGTCAATATTGTTATCGCAAGAATCCAAAGAACATTATCTGCCTTTCCTCAAACTAATCAAAAGAAGGAATCTCTCTCTCTCTCTCTCTCTCTCTCTCTCTCTCTCTCTCTCACACACACACTCGTATTTTAATGAACAAACCTGTGTTTGGGAACCAGAATAACAATGGACGTTTCTTTACACAGGTACAGAATCTCCCAGATTCTGGCTGGCAAAAGCTAATTTATTCACTGATTCTTTTATTAAGAAGATAATTTAACCAGCTCAATATTAATGGAGTAAATGCCAACATATGATAGACATTCTTTCATTCAATGAAATGTCAATGAGTATAGTATCTACATTTTATGAAGTCCTAAATGAAATGTGTGTACTGAGGATTTTTTTTTAAGGCTGTTCTTATCCACAAGTTATGTAATTACCACTATTAACTGGCAGGTTGTTGGGAACAAGATACTATGAGCTCGGACAAACATCAGCTTAATCAGTTATCCAATTTAACAGCATCAATAATAAGGATGTATTGCACTGAGAAAGACACATCCTTTATAGCAATCCTGAAAAAAAAATGTTTGGTTCTGTTACGAAGGCATAATCAAACAAAGTCAAACTGAGGAACATACTTCACAACAACTGGCCTAGAGAATCTACAATATAATTTGTCACAATGACAATGTCACAAAAAGAGGCTACTAACAAGCTGTTCTTAGAGAAAAGGTAAAAGAAGCATGGCCACAGCAGTATATGATCCTTGACTAGATCTGCAATCAGTTTTTAAAAATCAGCTAAAATGACACTGGGATAATTAGAGAAGTATGAATATAGCCTGCATTTTAACAACAGTGGATATATCAATGTGAAATGACCTGAGTGTGACAATGGTATTGTAGTTACATAGAAGAGCTTTTTAAGATTGGGTAAAATAATAAGGTATTTACAACTTTCAAATGGTTCAATAAAGTGCAGGTGTATATATATGTTTGTATGGAGAAAGTGCACGTGTGTAAAAAAGATAAGACAACTATATCAAAAGGCTAATAAATGATCACTCTAAGTATAGGATAGAAAGGTATCTGCTGTACTTTTTTTGCAACTGTTCCATGGGTTTGAAGTTTTTCTAAAAATGCTAAGAAAAATGGGAATGTGAAACTGAAGAATTTTACAAGAGAAAAAAACCTTAAAATCTAGAACATGACATACATTTTCTTCCAATATTTTTTAGTTACTAGAATGAACTGACACATCTGTCAATCATATATTTACAAGCTGTTCATCCTTCAGAGCAAGCACTATGTGCTCTGTAACACTTGATTATTATGCAATATTTATAAGCATCCAAACTTTTAGAAACTGTCCAACTACACAAAACTTCATATTCTCTTGTAGGATTTAAGACAACAGTAATTTTATTTACATGTATTTAAAACAAATATCCCAAGTGCATTTTGAAGACAATTCAAATCTATACTTATAGGCAAGTAGTCACTTAATTTCCCTAAGTAACAAATGTATTGACTACAGGTGATTTGTTATTTGAAATTCAACCTGTAAGATGTGTTTAACTTGCTGAGTCAGTTAAATGGATGTAAACAGCTGCTTTGGAAAACGGAATCCTGAGTAAACAGAACAAAATGATCTATTGACAGACTTTCCTTAAAATCACACACATACACAAAAAGTCCATGCAAACAGTGTGTATTAACTGCCAAACAGCTAATTTTTACGAATGTAATGACGAAGATAATTGCTCAAATTCAACTATGTTCAACCTATGTTTATCATTTAAGTCATATTCTGAAAAACTAAACTCTAGCACAAGAAAACAAGCAGGCAGCCTTCAAAGTCAATAAACCACTTAACTTCTAGCATGCTTTTGTTATTATTTTGCATTTTATTTTTTCATTAACCAGACAATCATTCCCTTTCTAGTTTAGTCAGTTATACAATTTAAGAGGAGCTAACTTCAGTGTGCCCAGCTGTAAAATACGAAATTCTGACATTATCTCAAAAAGACACAGAAAATAAAAGTTCATTTTACAAACTATGTATATTATCATGCTTATAAAAGAATGATCACAAAGATTTCCAGGTATAAAACTAAATCCCAAGGTAATAGACAAAGTTAGCCAAATACCAACACCTCACATTAATTTTGCTGTGAATATTTTATGTCATTTTACCTAAGAAAAATAAGTTACCAAATGATGGTAATCATTTTTTTTAAGTTTTTTTTTATTATTATTTATGCATACAAGACTGGAATGTAAGCCAGAGGTGCAGGCTGGGTCAGTGTGAAAGGAGACAGCCTGGGGAGTAGAACAGGCAGCTCTACTGAAATACTCTGCTGAGGGGAGCAGTGAGCAAGACAGGAGAGGTCTGCTGTGCCATATGTGGGTGAGCTGCCTGGTTAGGGATCAATTCATGCCACAAAGGCTGACCTTAGCTTGATAGGGCTTAGACTTTAACCCCTGCATCACCAGAGAGGCCCAAGAACTAGGGTGCAGGCGAGAAGTGGGGTTTGTGGTAAGATGATTCACCAGAGATAGAGCAGCACAACAGACAGACATACAGAAATATACTGCTGAGGGGAGCAGCAGGTAAGACAGGAGAGGTCTGCTGTGCCATGTGGGTCAGCTCCCTGGCCAGGGATGGAACCCATGCTGCAATTTTTTAATTCTGTCATTCAACCAAATAAAGCAAAAATATTGCTCGTTTAAAAATGTAGGTGTGGTACATTATTCACTCAATAGGTAGTACTCAAGGATTTTTTTAAAAAGTAAAAACTCTGGGGCGTTTTCCAGCCATGCCACCTCACTCCAGTGCTAGGAGTGCTGGGTAGAGTAGGTGAGTAGGTTTGCCCTCTCAGAGACTAAGGTCCTAAGAACCACACTGCTAAAGGTCTGGAGGCCAGGCCAGAACTAGAAGTTAGGCCAGAACTAGAAGTTCCATTTTAGGGGACCTTCTACTTCTTGCCAGAAAATCTCAAAGGACTTATCTACCAGAGAACCTAATTTTCCCAAAAGTTGCTAATCAAACAAATTTTGGGTGGCTTCAATAAGTAATTGACTCCTTGGGAGATGCGGACAAGTTGCTAAAGGAGAAAAAGACTTGACGCAAACCATTTCACTCAGGAAAATCAGAAAATTACACTGCATAGTGATTAGAAAGTAACTTATTAAACTACTTTATTGATGAATTATTGGTGTATTACTTCATTAATGATTATTTGCTAAATGCCTATGTATGCCAGATGCAGTGTTAAGCATTAGGTGAACACACGTTGACTGCTTTTATGACGTTTACAGACTCACAGGGGGACAAGGCACTAAACCACTAAACATTCACCTATTATTATGTTTGTAATTAATTATTTAAGGGACAAGTAAACCAAGGTGCTATGAGAAACAAAAGGGAGGAATTATTTTGTATTGAAGAGGAAAAAAAATAAAGAAAAAGGATTTTCAGCCTGAGCTATCCCTCAGGCTAAAGGACAGGGTTAAGAAGGGAGCAGGACAGGGAGGGAAGCTTATCAAGCGAGGGCACAGCACTGCATACATAGGCCCTGAGGTAAGAAAGGGCATGCAAGGTTACAAAAACCACTGACTGCCATGAAACACGTTATGTTTGGGGGGGCTGGGAGCAGTGGCAAGATATAAGGTAGGAGAGGTTTTAAAGGGTTTTGCACATCCTAGAAAGGAATGTGGATTTCGCTCAATACAACAGACAGTAGTCATGAAGGGTTTCAGATGTGGAAGTGGCTTGATCCAGATATTTTAAGATCACTCTGACTGCTCTGAGCACAAAGCGGGAGTGAAAGCCAAGAGCCTCAAGATGATGGTCCACAACATTAGCAGCAGAGTTGGTGAAAAGTAACTGCTTTCAAAACAACCCAAAGGTGGGGGTGACAGGACAGGCTGATGGATTATATTTTGGGATTAAATCTAGGAGGTCTACACTTGGTCTGAGCAACTGGATGGATAAAGGAAAGGGCTAAAAATAGGCTGTTGGGAATTTCAGCATGTGCATGAGTAAAATACCCCAAACTCATAAAAATGCATTTAAAAAAATGACATACAAAAAAACCTCATTTAAAACTGTGCGAGCTCTCACTACCACTCAATGTCAATTACAGGCACAAAAGGATCATCTACAGATACAACAGGGAAAAAACATATATTGCATGTCACAAAAAAAGAAGAGAAATCCACACTAGACTTCCTTTCCCAGCAACTCAGCCAATGAAAGACCATCACCACCCTGAATCCTTGCTTTCCATCAAAACAATCCCATCCCACTTCCTCCTTTTTCTCCACAAAGTAACTTTCCTCCCTGCTTCCTGAACTTACATAATACATATATACACTATTGGTTTTTTGCCACAGTTGTCTACAGTTTTTGCTGTAGTTTGTTCTGAACTGCAAATCCTCTGTTAGTCCTAAATAAGCCAATTTTATTGGTAAAATAACTAGTTGTTTCATTGTTAGGTCAACAACCTCAGCCTCTGAAAACCAAACAAGGATGGGTGGGCTAGGAAAGGTGGCTGGAAGTAGTCCTTGAGGTAAGAGGCAGTCCTGGAGAACATGATACTAGCCAGGAGAATTTCCAGTTTGCTACTGACACAGAAATCTGCTAAGCTAGAAAAACCCTTGGAGTTCACTAGATGGAGGTGCAAGTGATCTTCACAAAACCCATTCCAGTGCACCAGTGAGTTTGAAAGCTGGAGAAAATGAGGGGATATATAACACTTTTAAGTAGTGTTGTGATAGAAAGCAGAAATGAACAACTAGAATAATTAATTAAATGTGGGGATATAGCGATCCTTTAAAATGGTAAGTTAAGGGGCCCTCCCTGGTGCACAGCAGATTAAAGCACAGAACTAAGAAGCTAAAGCCACTTCAGCATGAGTTCCATTCCCACCCTGGAGGTGACCCACATTGCGCCGCAGACCTCTCCTGACCCACCTGCTGCTCCCCTCAGCTGTGTACTTTCTCAGTCGGCCTGTTCTGCTCCCCACTCTGTCTCTGATGAATCCTCTCACCGCCCCTACACCTCTGGACTGTACCCCAGCTTTGTATGCATAAATAAATCTTTTTTAAAAAAATGGATAAGTTAAAGCAGGAAATGCTCTAGTGATGAGGGAAATTTTAATAATAATGTTTTGGTTTGGAAAAATATATAAATGTTTTTTCAGGTTTCAGATTAAGCCTCATTAGTGGATTGCAAAATGAATTTAGTAGATCAACATTCATTTCTAATAAGGGCAATCTCAAAGTTGACTGCATACAGTAGAGGTAAGTTTTGTTTTGTGAAGCTTTTGTTTCCCTTACATATATAAATTGTGTTAAAACAAAACAAAACAAAACTGAATCAGTGTGTTAGATGTTCCCTGGATCTGTACCTTGCCTCAACAGTGTTTGGACAGACAGAATAAAGATTCAAAAGCCCTTTCTTCCAGGTTCAAATCACCCTCTAACCTCTTTTCTAGTATAGTCAACAAACCATCTTCTACCCCCAGGCCTAGACATTTCTTTAGCTTACTGTATTATTGTCCATCAACCATGAATTCCCTGACTTGCCAGAATCATCCCACTGAGATGGAGACTGCTACCACCTGCATGGTCAACATGCATCTGCGGGCCTCCCACACCAACATCTGAGTTTCTATTTCAACTACAAAAATGTGGCTCTGGGGGTGTCAGCCACTTCTGTGAGTTGATCAAGGGGAACTGCAAGGGTACCAAGTATCTTTTGAAGATTCAAAACCAACATAGCAGCTGGACCCTCTTCTTCCAGGATATACAGAAGCCATCCCAAGAGGAATGGGGTAAAATCCTGTACGGCGTGGAAGACTTCATGGTCTTGGAGAAGAACCTGAAGCAGGTCCTTCTGGATCTGCATGCCCTGTTCTCCCAAACCTACATCCCTATGACTTCCTGGAGAACTGCTTCCTAGAAAAGGAGGTGAAACTCATCAAGAAGATGGGGGACCACCTAACTAACCTCTATGTGGGGTGGCAGGCCGCCAGGCTAGTCTGGGTGAATAAACTGTTCCAAGGTTTATCTCAAGCACTAACTGGGCCCCTCTGCAGGCCCCCAGTGTCAGGGTTTCTGCTTGGGCCTCTCGCTGCAGGCAGTAATCAGTTTTTAACCACCCTGGAGGCTTAAGCCATGGACTATATGGAAACAATAAAACTGCAGCAGAAACAAAAAGTAAACACCAGTCTGAAAAACAGCGCAGCAGATCTTCAAATAAAATCTTTTCATTCATAATAACTTCTTTAAAACCTTAATGAGATACAAACTACCCCATCAGAGGTTGAAGGGAATCACACCACTGAAAATCTACTTTGGAATTAAGTCGTGTTGCAAACTCGCAGTTTCCAGAACCTCTGGACAACGGGAGGAATTAAGTGTACATAGAGTCATTATACATGGAGCAAAAGAACACGAAGGGAAATAACGAGTGTTAAATAATCGGTAGTAAAGCCCAAAGCCGGTATGCCCCCAAGTAACGTCAGCCACTTAAAAGCCCATACGCAGATGGCTGCAAAAACTTCCATTTGTACGAGATACAAAGAGCAGACAGAAAACACCACGTGGAGTTACTGTTAGAACAGGAGACAGCCACATACGCCCCAGCCGAGACACTGATTTAGCCCTAGAAAAGCCGCCCCTTCCCATACAAGACTCACTGCTCCTCATCAAACTCGGACGCCTCTTCTGATTAGGGTTCCGGGCAAGCAGTCCACTGCCCCTCGGCCAAGCCAGCCCACACGTCCCAGGGCGGACTCGAGGTTTTCCACCTTTTAGGTCCCGTTCCGCTCCGGGCCGGGTGCGAGACCCAGATTACTATATGAATGAACAAGGGAGCGGGCACACGCCCAGCGGCACTGGTCTCGGGTCCTGGGCACCGGGTGGCAGTCCAGGCGATGGTGCAGAGGGGTGAGTGAGAGCCCCCTTCTTCCGCACCAGCGGGAGACACAGCGCTCCTCCACTGGGCCCTTGCCACAGGTCGCCCCACGTCCACTTCTCTCGGCTCCCGGCGCTCCAGGCGCCGAGGCCGGACCCTGACCCAAAACCCAGAACCAGCCCTGTGCAACTTACACTTCCATGTCGTCCTTGCCTCTCAGACTCCGGCAGAGCCGACACGAGCTTCTCACCGCGCAGGTACAAGTCTAAAACCAGCGCCCGGTCGCCGGCTCCGCGCCGCAATGCCTGCCGGGATCACCGCGCTGCACGCCGGGAATCTGGAGGACCAACCCGGATCTCCGAGTCCGGGATTCCCCGAGGTGTCAAGCTCAGGTGTTTTCTGTTTTTGTTTGTTTGTTTTTGTTTTTGCCCAACCAGACTGTAAAGCGCTTACAGACAAGGCTTACCTGATATTTTTGTGCAACGTAAATTAAGGTTTCAGATATGATTAGGGTTAGTAGGGCTTTGCAGTGTTGAAATGCCACCCCTCGGAGAGTAGTGAAGCTCAGGGGCAAAGTGACTTCTGAGCTAATGGAAATATTCCTTTGATAATTCATGATCTGGGGGGCTTCGGTGTGTTCAGTTTCTGAACACTCAACTGTACACAAATACAGACGATATATATTTAGTTGGTAATAGTGATTGATGATTGCATAATAAAATGTGCCATATTAAAATAGTGGACTATTATTTGGCAATAAGATTAAAGTACTGACAGAAGCTACAACACAGATCACTCTCAAAGCATGCTAAGTAAAAGAAACCAGATACAAAAGGCCATATATTGTATGATTCCATTTATAGGAAATTTCCAAGAATAGGCAAATTATAGAGATACAAAGAGGAGTAACAGTTGCTCTGGATTGGGAAGGGGTGGGGTTGGCCATGGGAAATCAAAATTAATGGATAGAGTTTTTTGGGGGGAGACAGAAATGCCCTAAAACTGGATTGTGGTCATTGTTGCACAACCCTGTGAGAAAAAAAAAACAAAACACTGAATTATACACTTTAAATAGGCAAATAGTATTTACATATAAACTATATGTCAATAATCTATTAAACTTTTCTTAAAATTTACTGGTGATTGCCTATGGGGAGTGGATTGTAGGAAAACTATGGGGAATTTTTAACATTTAACTTCACGTATTCATTATTTTTTAAATGTTTTCAGAATGCATCATTTTTAATTATAAAACTTTTTTTTAAAGATTTACTTATTTATTCATACAGAACTGGGGGTACAGGCCAGAGATGCGGAGGGTGAGAGGATTCACCAGGGACAGAGTGGGAAGCAGAACAGGCAGATCGAGGAAGTACACTGCTGAGGGGAGCAGCGGGCGTGTCAGGAGAGGTCTGCCTCTCCATGTGGATCGCCTCCGGGGCAGGCGGGAATCGAACTCATGCGGAAGTGGCTTTCGCTTCTCAGTGCTGTGCTAACCCGCTGCGACACCAAGGAGGGCCCATAAAACTATTATTTTTAAAATAACACATTTACTTTAAAAATCAACAATTTGCACCCCAGGCCCACTGTGAACTGATTTATGTGTAGAGTTCCTGTGCCTCCCTCAAGGAGATTGGGCCCCACAATCCTCGTGTTACTCACTCAGCAAACATGTAGTGATGGTACAGCGGGTAATGATGATACGAATGTGAATAATAGACACCCCCTACCCTGGCTCGCTGGCAACCTAGTTAGGGAACCAGTTCTGGACATCAATAACTAACAATACTCCATGTTTAGACATGATGGAGCAGAGAAGGGAATGACTAATGAGGTGGAGAGGCGTCCCAAAGCCAGGGGTGTTTGAGCTGGGTGCAGAGAGGAGCAGGCAAGGTCAATTTCAAGGATAGGCTTCTACTGAAGTGAGGCCTTTGAGGGCTCCACAATTAAAAGGTTAACTCCAGGTTCTCAAAGGGAGGTCACCCTAAAATTTTCAGGGCCACCTGTAGTCAGTCAGTCACCCATCCCTTGGGGGCAGCTAAGTAGTGAAGAGTAAGGCCCTCTCCCAAGGGAAAGCAGTCTGTAGGCTGTCTGGAAGTAATCTACACAGAGATGGTCCAATCAGCAAAACTGGGCTAATCAATGACTGAAATTCCTGCCTGCCCTATTCCTGTTCAGGGCTTCCCTGAAGCTCTCCTTACTTGAGGCTGCCTGAGTTTCCACTTCTTTGCCTGGTAAATGCCTTTCTAAAAATAGCTGCTTTTTAGGCAGGGTTACCAAATATATATAAAGACCCAGGAGGTGAGCAAACCAGCAGCATCCCATCACCAGGTGAGTCCTTCTAAAGTGCCACCAGTTGTGAGGCCTCTACTACAGCTGGGTGACTACAGCTGTCTCACTGAGAACTAACAGGATCCGAACAGGATGCCACACTACCTGTGGCATTCTCTCAGTCGGGCTTCTGCACACTCAACACAGTATGCATGAGTCATCTGAATTCACCAAGTGAAGAGCAAAGTAGCTGAAAGGCCTTGGTCCAATGTTTGTTTTCACCACAAGAGTCAGAAAGATGATTGTCATGTAAGATCTACTAGTGATTGTGTCAGTCATTGTTATATTGATCCTTTGAGTAATTAACTGCTGATAAAGCAATTAATCTTTTAGATTGCTCCACACAGATTCATTATTGTTGCCTAAAGTGTGGCCACATTGCTGAGGATCAATTCCCAGCTCAATGACTTCAAAGCTTGGTGTCTTTAGACAGGTCACCTAATTCTGTCCCTGACTCAGTAATTCATCAGTAGAATGGAAGTAGTTGTAGCATTGACCATGAGGGATGGTTGAAGGATTTAAGGAGGCAATCAAAATATAAGATGTTTAGCATGTACCTGGCATACACAGAGCTTAGGAAATATTAGTTATTATTGTTATTTTGTTTATTGCCCCAGTCTATGGATTGTCTTTTTTCCCCCTCTTAATAGTTATTTTTAGAGCAAAAGTTTTAATTTTGATAGTTTAAGTTCCTCATCAGATAAAAGTATGTATATATGTGTATTGTAAACTAATCTATGGTTACAAAAAGCATGTTTTCTTGTTTGAGGAGAAGCAGGAGGAAGGGATTATAAGGAAGCATAGGCACAAGGAAATTTTTGGCTACAATCACTCTCTCAATTATGGTGTGGTTTCATGGAGTATGAGTATGTCCAAACATATCAAATTGTATACTTTACATATTTGGATATTATTGTATGCCAATTATCTCTCCATAAAGCTGATACATACATCATATATATGTGTATATATACACACACAGGTTGATTAGAGTTTTAACAGTGAGACCGAGCACTTTTTAACATTTGAAAATATTCAAACATTTGCCCTTCCATAGTTATTTGCAAATCTTCTGGAGAGTCCCCATTTTTTTGTTTGTATCAATAATTCATTTCTTTTTATTGCTAAGTTATAGCCCTATTTGTATGTACATAACATGAATTATGTATTAGCTTTACTGAGATACTGGTATATTAATATCAACTGGTATATAACAATATACAGATATTTTTTAAAGATTTATTTATTTATGCATACAGAACTGGGGTACAGGCTAGAGATGCAGGAGCAGTGAGAGGATTCACTAGAGATAGAGTGGAGAGTAGAATAGGCTGACTGACAAAGTACAGTGCTGAGGGGAACAGTGGGTAAGACAGGAAAGGTCTGCCAGGCCATGTGGTCACCTCCCAGGGCATGGATCGAACCCATGCTGAAGTGGCTTTAGCTTCTTAGTGCTGTGCTTTAACCTGCTGTGCCACCAAGGAGGGCCAGCCCAATATACAAATATTTAAAGTATACAACTTGGACCCTCCCTGGTGGCGCAACAGTTAGGGCACAGCACCGCAAGCTAGCCATAGCTGCTTCGGTGTGTGTTTGATTCCCCCACCCCAGAGGTGACCCACATGGCACAGCAGAGCTCTCCTGTCTCACCCACTGCTCCCCTCAGCAGTGTACTCCATCAGTCTGCTGTTCTGCTCCCCACTCTATCTCTGGTGAATCCTCTCACCGCCTCTGAACCTCTGACCTATACCCCAGTTCTGTATGCATATGCATAAATAAAAAAATCTTAAAGTATACGATTTGATGTTTTGACATATACATATTCCCATATGTATACATATAACTTTTGATATTCCTGAATTATATACCATATATTCCATGGTATATATTTATACTATAATACACTCATGGATAATTTTATTATAAAATTAATATCATGCTACTGATTGCAAAGGGCACCAATAATTTATTTTGCATTTGTTAGATGATGTGCTCTATAAATATCAATTAAGTCAAATTGATTGGTGATTTTCTTTAAATCTTCTATATCCTGGTTTTCTATGTGTTATTGACACTGGTTCTGTCAATTACAGAGATGGTTATTAACATTTCCAATTAATTTTGGAGCTATTAATGTATCCCTTTAGTTCTGTTCATCTTTGCTACATCTATTTTGAAGCTATGTTATTAGGAGCATATCTGTGCGGGGTTACTAGCTGCTTGTAGTGATAAATTGACCCTGTTATTATAAATGATCCTTTTCATCTTAGGTAATATTTTGGCCTTAAAGTTTACGTTGTCTGATATGAAGTTAGCCAACCTAGGTTCTTATGGTTAATGCTTATATGATATATCTTTTCCATTCCTTTACTTTTGACTTGGTTATGTTTTTATAGTTGAAGTGGATTTTTTATATGTAATATATAGGTGGATCTTTTCCTATGCATTCTGACAATCTCTGCTTTTATGGACTGTTTAACCCATTTACATTGTTTAAAGATTTATTTATTTATTTATGCATACAGATGCAGGGGCAGTGAGAGGATTCACCAGAGACAGAGTGGGGAGCAAAATAGGCAGAGTAATGAAATACACTGCTGAGGGAAACAATGGGGGAGACAGGAGAGGTCTTCTGTACCATATGGGTCATCTTCCTGGCCTGGGATCAAACTTGTGCTGAGGCAACTGTGGCTAACTTCAGAGTGCTCTACTTTAACCCACTGCTCCACCAGGGAGGGGCCCCCATTTACATTTAAAGTAAAGTTTTTCCGAAACCATGGCTTTTTATTTTTCACATGGACAGTTCAAAGGAAGTTACCAGTAGCTTGTTTAATGTAAAACACACACACACATAAAAAAAAAAAAAAAACCTTGGGTTTAAGGAGACCTAAGTCTTCACTGAGAGACTGGTTAAAGAATTCATGTTTTTACAAGGGAAATACAGTGTATAT